GTGAACGTCCTTTATTTGGACGTGTTTGAAAAGCTTGGACTAGACAGGAAGGAGCTGACTCCGGTCGGTGTACCACTGTCTGGCTTTACCGGGGCTCTTATTTACCCCGAGGGAAAGATAACGCTCCCGGTCGAGATCGGCACAGCCCCGAAGTCGATCAAGACGGAGTTAGAATTCGTTGTGGTCAACCTCCACTGCGTCCACAACATTATCTTGGGCCGACCCGCCATTATGAAGATCGGTGGGATAATTTCAATGCCTCACCTGTGCATGAAATTCCCCACCCCCAATGGGGTCGGTGTAGTCCGTGGCGATGTCCAATCCGCCCGGAAGTGTTACACCCGAGCGGTTAATAGACACGACTCCGGTTCGTCTTCCCGGGTGAACACCATAGCCAAAGAAGAGGCTAAAGATCGGAAGGAACAGTCAGAGCCTTCCGAGGAGATAGAAGAAGTTCCCCTATCCGAGGACCGACCGGATAGGAAGATTAAGATTGGTCGGGCCCTTACCCCCGAGCTCCGAGCAAAAATTTTGGCCATACTCCGGGAGTATGCCGATATCTTCGCCTGGGGGCCCGAAGACATGCCCGGGATCAACCGATCGGTAATTTTCCACAAGCTAGCCGTTGATCCCGCAACAAAGCCGGTCGTGCAAAAAACCCGGCACCTTTCTTCCGATCGCCGCGAGTTTGTTAGAGAGGAAGTCAAGAAGATGGCGGCGATCGAGCACATCCGACCAGTGATCTATCCCGAGTGGGTGGCTAATATAGTTCTTGTTCCTAAGCCCCCAGCGTGGAGGATGTGCATTGATTTTACCGACCTCAATAAGGCCTGTCCGCTCGACCCGTATCCTCTACCGAGTATCCACCAGATGGTCGACGAGACGGCCGGGGCCGAATTGATGAGCTTCATGGATGCATTCAAGGGTTACCATCAAATCATGATGCACCATGAAGATGAGAGCAAGACAGCCTTCGTGACCCCGGACGGGCTGTATTGCTACCGAGTGATGCCGTTCGGTCTCCGCAACGCAGGAGCGACCTACCAGAGAATGGTCAATATGCTTTTTGCTGATCTGCTGGGCCGAACAATGGAAGCTTATATTGATGACATGCTGGTCAAGAGCCGGGACCGATCCGACCACACTCGGGATCTCCGGGAGTGCTTCCAGATCATGAGGAAGTACCAGTTGCGGCTGAACCCGACCAAGTGTACATTCGCGGTTCAGACCGGCAAGTTCCTCGGCTATATGATGACTAAGAGAGGAATTGAGCCTAACCCGGCCAAGGTGAAAGCGATTCTGGACATGCAACCACCTTCTACCGTTCGGGAAGTCCAGCAATTGGCCGGTCGGTTAGCAGCCCTCAGCCGATTCCTCTCCAAGTTAGCCGAGCGCGCTCTGCCTTTCTTTAAGGTATTGCGAAAGGTTAATGGATTCTTTTGGGACGAAGAATTCCGAGCAACTTTTGATGAGCTGAAAGAGTATCTCATGTCACCAATTGTGCTCTCAAAGCCCGAGCTCAGAGAAGAGCTAGACGTATACCTCGCCGTCTCCGATCGTGCAGTAAGCGCAGTATTGTGCCAAACCGATCCGGAAGGGGTCCAGCGACCGGTGTACTATGTAAGCCACGCGCTACATGGTCCCGAGCTCCGGTACTCCCGGTTAGAGAAGGTCGTCTACGCCTTATACATTGCCGCGAAGAAGTTGGCTCCCTACTTCCAGGGTCGAGCAATTCGCGTGTTGACCGATCAGCCGATCGGGCCAGTCCTCCGAACTGCTTCATCGTCTGGTCGCCTAGTCAAGTGGGCGTTGATGTTGACCCAGTACGCGATCGAATACCAACCGAGACCAGCTATCAAAGGTCAGGCCCTAGCTGATTTCTTGGTCGAGTGCACCGCCCGGGATACCCGACCCCCCGAGGCCGCGGATCCCGAGGCTGAGTGGTGGTCGTTAGCTACTGACGGGTCGAGTAGCAAGAAAGGAGCAGGAGGAGGAGTAGTAGTCACGAGCCCGGAAGGATTCAAAGTCTATTTTGCTCTCATGTATCAGTTCCATCCGACCAATAATGAAGCCGAGTACGAAGCCTTTGTTAACGGCTTACAGTGCGCTCGAGACTTGGGAGCTGACTACCTTCGAGCTCAAACAGATTCCGCGCTCGTGGTCGGGCAGGTTCTCGGAGACTATGAAGTCAATGGAGAGCGTCTGCAATTATACCGGGACCTAGCCATGGAGAAGCTTGCTCAGTTCTGGGGATATACCGTCCGGCACATCCCCCGATTGGATAATGCCGACGCGGACATCTTGTCAAAGTTGACTCAAGACGCCCCGGAACATATGTCGAAGATAGCACGAATTTTGGTGATCCCGAGACATAGCATCCATCGCCTACCGGTCAATCCGATCCAACCGGTAGAAGACAATTGGATCACCGATCTAAAGGAGTTCCTCGAGCACGGTCGACTCCTAGACGACCCCCAGCGTACTCGGAAGGCCAAGCTTAGAGCCCCAAGGTTCCAAGTCTTGGACGGTCGTCTCTACAGGCGATCGTACGGAGGACCTCTTATGCGTTGCTTGACCGCATTTGAGGCTGATCTGGTCATGAAGGAATTGCATTCGGGAATTTGTTTTTCACATCAAGGAGGCCGATCGTTAGCCCGTCGTATCATGCTGATCGGGTACTATTGGCCGTCCCTCCACCTAGACTGTGAAAAGTTAGCTCGGGAATGTGAGACGTGCCAACTGTTTGCCCGGATGCCTGGACGACCGGCAACTTTCTATCAGCCGGTAACGACTGCAATTCCCTTCGCTAGGTGGGGGGTAGACATCTTGGGCCCCTTCCCTCAGCTCTCCGGTCGGAGAAAGTTTGTGATTGTCGCCATTGATTACTTTTCCAAGTGGATAGAAGCCGAGCCCTTAGCCACGATCACTTCTCAGCAGTGTGCTCGGTTCCTTTGGCGCAATGTGATTTCCCGCTTTGGTGTGCCTGTGCATCTCATCAGCGACAACGGCCGCCAATTTGTGAGCCAATATTTTCAAAACTTCTTGGCCACGATCGGGACGACCCACGTCCGGTCGTCGGTGGCTTACCCACAGGGAAACGGACAAGTGGAAAACGTTAACCGGACGATTTTGGAAGGTCTAAAAAAGAAGCTACACTCGGTTGGTCGTAGTTGGGCCGATGAGTTGCCATATGTGTTGTGGACTTATCGGACGACCCCGAGGGAAGCTACTTTGGAGACCCCTTTCGCCCTGGTTTATGGAGCTCGACTCGGATGTCCCCGACGAGCTCGACGATCCTTCTGGCTCGGGGGCTCGGTCGGGTGTGTGTTGTGGTCGTTGCTCGACCTCTGGAGAATAGGACATGATGTCCACCTCCTCGCTGCTGTGCTCGATCGTGTTGTCGTAGTCTGCGATCGAGGCGTTCTGGCTATCCGAATCCGACATGTTTTCTACCTAAAGGTCGGTCGGGGTTAGTACAGGGTTCGGGAAGTTAGTTCGAAGTTAGTTCTATCCTAACCCTACGCAAAGCTAAAAGCAAAGTAAAAGCTAAAGAATTAAGAGCTTACCGGTTGATGATACTTGGAAGAAAACTTGAAGCTTGGTGGTTTGCTCGATTGGTTCGCTGAACTGCTGCTCGGGACTCTCTGAGGGTACCGATTGCTTCAGTGGATTGAGGAAAGTTCAAATGAAGGCCTCAAGGGCCTATTTATAGGAGAGCATTTAGGCGGGAAAACGAGTCCACTTGCGTGACACGACCCGCACTGATTCCGAGGCGACCGTTGCGGTCGCCGAGGCCGGCAGTGGCCGACACGTGGCGAGGGAAGGAATGACAGCTGGCAGGTCGGTTTGATGGCTGACGTTTGGGCTTCTTCATCCCGTCTCGTTTTTTCCCGGACGGTCAAAAAGGCCCGGGCTGGGGGGCTTTTGGTAGGGAATATCCTGACCGCCATAGTTCCACCACGACCGAGGTGCCTTTGTCTTTGTCTTTTTGTCTTTGCAGGTAGCAGGTCGGGCTTTTTATGAAGAACCCGGTCGGGAAGCGACCGGGAATTGCCCGAGCGTTAGTGTCGACCACCGAGCGGTAGCCCTTTGGCGAGAGAGCCGACAAAGGACACGTGGCAGCTCTTTACGACGACAGACAGGGCACCCGGTAGGATGACACGTGGTGGCTACGTGGAGGACATGCCGAACGACCGGATTCTTGCCCCCGGCACAACGGCTATAAATACCCACAGTAGCTACAGTGTAGAGGACTTTTGGACGATCGATAGGTTGTTGCTAGAGAACCCCGACCGCAGTCAGTCGGTACTCAGAGCAACCAAGTAGATTGTACTTAGGGCCTTTACCGTAATCAATAAAGTCTTTTACTTGCTTTAGTCGGTCTCGGGTTTATTTTATATTGCTTACGTAGAATTAACAGTATCAAAAACTATAAAAATTGCTTCAACCTACATAGAACTATTACATAAGATTCACTTAAGATACTTTGATTTACGTTAAAATTTATAATTATTACTTGAAAGTGCATTTGATAGAGATTCATATATGGGAAGGTAAAATAGAATTGATTTTTTTATTAAAAAGAATCAATAAAAATAAAAATATAACATAAAAGGGGCATTTAAGTGGTGAATGAGTTTCTTTGTGGGACGATTATATAAATAGTTCGATTCAATTTTCACAAGTGACATTTTGATTGAGCCAATTCCTATGCATTTCGGAGCAAAAGAGGATGGGTGAACATGGATCATAAGACGGACAGCGAAAAATTTGGAACACTTCGTGATTAAAAAAAAAAAAAAAACATTTTCCTTAAAAAATTAAAAATATCTTTTTTATTTTGGTCAATGACGGGTTGAAAGTAGAATCAAGTGGAACCGAACGCATTCCCAATTGCGATTTGTGTCTCAAATATGCCAATTGCTAGACATGTGTACACTTGGCACCGCTCTATTGGACAAATGCACGAAAAATGACGCGCAAGCAAATCAAATTTGGAACATCGGGAGAAACAAATATTTATTTCTTCGAATTTTCTTCCCAGTTCAATCAAATTGAGAGCTGATTTCGTTTGTCTGGTTATCCTCATCAAATCTTTTGTTTCAACTCTCCAGCAATCGCCTTCCCGCGATTGTTAACAACTTCGAGTCAGCTCCGCCATCTATCCCCGTACGTATGCCCTCAATCCGTTTCAAACCTAGGTTTTTCAATTCCGGCATTTCTATATTATCTGATTGTATTCGCATGGTTATGAATTTGTCTATTGATTCATTTTTATTTATTTATTTATTAATGTTTTCGTTCTTACGGTGTCGGCGGGTCGGAAGAGGGTTCGCATTTTTCGATGCAATCATCTCCTTAAAAAATATTTTTTTTAATGGAGTTTTGATTATTTAGCTGTTTATGATTCAAATTATTATTGTAATAAATACAGTGCAAAATGATGCACTTTGTTTTCCTATTTGCTATGTACATGGGATGATAGTTCAGTTAGCTTGTTGGCAATGTGCCAGACCGGAAAACAGTGAGTAGTGGTATACATTAGTTGTATAGGGACCATGGATAATTTCAATTTCAAGGTTTCCATGTTTGTTTTTTTTAGGCTGATAAGCCTGGTCAAATTGATTTCATGTTTTGGTCTCGAATGACCAGTTTGATTGATTGAGAGATGTTTTGTCTCAGGGTGCATAGAGGAGCCAAGGGAAAATGTTGAGGCTGCAAACATATGCAGGGCTTAGTCTAATAGCCACACTGGCTGTTATTTACCATGCTTTCAATAGTAGAGGCCAATTTTACCCAGCAACGGTTTACTTATCAACCTCGAAGATCTGTCTGGTGGTTCTGCTTAACATGGGTCTGGTCCTTATGTGCATTTTGTGGCAATTAACAAAGAAAATATTCCTTGGTTCCCTTCGGGAGGCGGAGGTTGAGAGGCTCAATGAGCAGTCATGGCGGGAAGTCATGGAAATACTTTTCGCCATCACAATCTTCCGACAAGACTTTTCAGTTACTTTTCTTGCTATGGTTACTACACTTCTGCTTATCAAGGCTTTGCATTGGTTGGCTCAGAAGAGAGTTGAATACATTGAAACAACCCCAACAGTTCCTTTGTTGTCCCACATTCGCATTGTCTCCTTCATGGGATTTCTCCTCTTTATAGATAGTCTCTTTTTGTACAACTCCGTAAACTACTTGATACAGACAAGACAGGCTTCGGTTTCTCTCTTCTTTTCATTTGAGTAAGTTGTTCATTCTTCTTGCTAGTTTGGTGTTTTTGCTCCATTTTTAACTTTCTTAAAGTTTTATAGATTTGGAGATTTGACATTACTGACTTTTCTGAAAGACTGCTCATTAATTATAGGCTTCCACATTTGCATATTTATGGATATGGAAATTTTAGTCTATTCTATTGTAATTTGATCTTATACTTAATCATGTTAGCTTATGGTAGTTTGACCATATATATATATATATATATATATATATATATATATATATATATATATATATATATATATATATATTCATTTATTTATTCCTGCGCCCTGCCCCCTCTTCGCTAATCAACTTTTTTGGTGGTGTGTCTCAGGTACATGATCCTTGCAACAGCTACTGTGTCAACATTTGTGAAATATATATTCTATGTTAGTGACATGCTTATGGAAGGACAGTGGGAGAGAAAGGCTGTCTACACATTCTACTTAGAACTTATCCGAGACTTACTTCATTTGTCTATGTACCTATGCTTCTTCCTTGTCATTTTTATGTAAGTATCACCATTCAACCTTATTGTTATTCATGATATGTGCTTGTTATGCCTTGCTTATTTTGGAGCTTACGTGCTACAAAATGTAGAAGTAGGCCAAAAAGTAAGAAAGAAAATATGGAAGGCCTTTTCTGCAAGAAGCACCACATTGAGGCTTTTAAGAAAATCTTCTTTTTGAAGAAGCTATCATCTGGGCTAGGCAGCAAAATAGCATAGTGCTTGCTGGCCAATTGAATTGTATTATTTCAAGTTTGACCTATGCACCTAAGTCTTTGGGTCATTTATTTTCTCTTTGCACATAGCTGACTTTGTCTTCATTGCATGCTTGTGCTACATATAGCTTTGCCTATTAGATGTAGAAATTATGATATGTTTAATTTAGAATTTTTTTCTGAAAAAGAACGGGAGATCTTTGATCCTATAGGAAGAAGAAGAAATGGGACATGGTTCTGAAAGATTCACATTGTTTTGGTAGACACATCCTTGGGTATTTTTTCCCTGATGATTTGACATTCCTAGTGGCTTATGGGTAGCCTTCTTTATTCTAGTAAAGTTGATTTTCTTTTTTACTAAATGATTGTGACTTATCTTCTTTATCCAATTATTCTAAAACCCCTTAAATCATTCCAGTAGAACAGATCACTACTTAGTTTTGCAGTTCTTCATTATTGGTCTACAGTTTCATAAATTTTGTCATGTTTTAATTTTGAATTGTTTAGCAACTATGGTGTACCTCTGCATTTGATTCGGGAGCTTTATGAGACATTTCGCAACTTCAAAATTCGTATTGCTGATTACATACGCTATCGGAAGATCACTTCAAACATGAACGATCGTTTTCCAGATGCTACACCAGAAGAACTCAATGCGTGAGTTGTTTGAAATAAACTTTTCTGTGCATTCTTTCTTCATAATCATTTTCATCACATTTTGTGATCCTGCAGAAGTGATGCTACCTGCATCATTTGCCGTGAGGAGATGACTACCGCAAAGAAACTCATTTGTGGGCATCTTTTTCACGTGCATTGCCTCCGTTCATGGTTGGAAAGGCAGCACACCTGTCCTACCTGTAGAGCCCAAGTTGTGCCTCCTGAAAATGGGACAAGTCAAACTGGGCCAACAGGACCACGAGCTGATTCTCAGCAAGGTATAAAACTTGTTTCACCATTGAGCTGTTCTTGATCTTCTATGTTCTTTGAAAAAATTTACAACCTTGGACTGAAAAGTTTACTTTTCCAATATTGTGTTTGGCATGCCATTTTTGTTTAGAGCAGATGAAATACTGAGTGTGTACCTTTTTTCCAATAATCTATTGGCTGTGTTACCAGTCAATAATAAATTGTTGTCCATATACGAGTTGAATGGAAATAGGGGACAGGAACCCTTGTGTAATGTGGTGTTGGTATGAACTTATGACAGTAGTTGTATATTACTTTAGGGAGGTTACTTTTCTATTATGTGTTTTCAGAAGCATGTTGTTACAAGCATTTCCGTGAACATGTTGAATGGAATCAATGGGGAAAACTATTTTCTCCCACAACAATAAATAAATGCATGGCGTATGGGCACTCTGTCTCCCTCTTGCTCAATCAAAGTCTCCACTCTATTGCTGCTTTTCTTACTCTCTCTCTCTCTCTCTCTCTCAACCCATGAAAGCCAATCCCTCTTGTTTTTTCTTGCTCAGCTTTCTCTTCTTTTTCTTAGCTTCAATTTGAGATTCTTGAAGTTTTGTTCTATTTTTTGCCCTAATGATATTAGGGCTCTATCTATATGCATTAAATAAAATAATGGTGTGCTTTGCTTTTTGCTTAAAGTGCCAAGCGGGTTTTGCACTTCAATTCTCATTGTGCTTGTAAAAACCTTTCTTCAGAAAAAACATAGTAGTTAATTTATGCACATGTTTGTGGACTGATTTGGTACTTGGAGTGCATTCACTAATTGCTGGTTTATCCTATTACACTATCTTTTCAAATTAAAGTTCTTGGTTGGATGCAGGACCAAGTGTTGCAAGTTCATCCCAGGGTTCACAAGCTGATGGTGAGCGAAATAGCAATACTAACCAGCATCAAGCTAGGATACAAGCTGCTGCTGCTGCTGCTTCAATATATGGGAAATCTTTTGTTTATACTAACACTCCCTCACATGCACAATTGTGGTATGGATTTTCTCCATTTCAGTCTTGTATGAGTACTAATATTCTACTGCACAAGTACTTCTATTACTGCATAATTGTGTGTATTTTTCCATAAATATAAAATATCTTAAAATCATGACTCTCCTTCCCTCGTCCATTTTCTTCTCTATAGCATTACTCAATAATTTTTTATTCAAATTTTATGGCTACAGTTCTGTGACAAGGACAAAATTGGTTTAATATTCTCATGCTTACAGGTCCCCTGGATTTGCCTTGCGTCCTCCCCCCAATAAACCTTCAGATGGCTCTGCTAGTGTAAGCTCAGGCGGTGAGCATGCTCTGGGTGAACATTCACAGCCACGTCAGTTCGCAAACGCAAGCTTTACTCAGTTTCCACAGTATACTTTTGTTCCCTTCCAACTTCCTGGGCACGCTGACATTGGATCTAGCAGTGGCCCCCCTACTGGAGATATGCATCCCGAGGTTAAGAAGAAAGTCATTGAAGAACAAATTAAGGTGTGATGTTGTGTTAATGAGCTTTTATCATCCTTCCTAGCTGCCTTGAACCCAAAATTGCCTTCGCCTTTTCTTTATACTTCGCTAATTACTGCAAAATTAACAATGATCACAGGCTCTGCAACACGAGCTCACTCTTCTACATAAGCCAAATACCGAGAACAAGACTGCTTCTACAGAAACTTGCGACGGCAAGGGAAAAGCCGTGTCCTCATCATCTTAGCCGATTTCTGACAATCTTGCCCTACTGTAGATGTGTGCAAGTGGGCAGAGACAAAAGTGAGTTCAATTTTAAGATTTTATGAGTTACTATGAGACCCTAGGATCTGTTGTACCCTTTTGAAGAACAGACGAGCAGATGATGAATGTTTGCCTGCAGAGCGCGGATAACAAATGAAAGAAACGATAGTTATGTAAATTGTACAGCTTTTGATTTCCAACGTACCTTTTTTTCCCCTCAATGTACTTTCAACTTCTAGATTGTTACAATTTTCTGGACAAATATGCCACAAATAGATCAAATAGGACTGTTTATCTTTTTGTCGCCGTTTATTGCTTATTATTATGCATATATCGGATTGCCAATGTCTTTGTGGTTTAGTGGCATGAAATGACTCTTCTAAGTGGGAGGTTATGGGTTTTGAACCTGTTTGGTAACATAACTCATAAGCTAATTCAACTTATTTGATCATTATTAGCTGTTTGATTTGATTCAACAATTAACTAAAAAAGTTGTTCAAAATAACTTTTTCGATATTATTTTATATGTAACAGTTAATTTATTAAATATTTTTTTTAACAAATTATCAATTAATAATTAAACTCACTAATCTAATTAGCTAATAACTATCGTATAACCGTTATTTATCAGACACCTCATAAATAATTAAACTCAAAAAAATAATTAGAAATGTTGACTTTGTAGAATTGTAGTGACGCTATTTTAACACTTATATATTGCGTAGTAAAGAGATCTTTTTACAATAAGGGAGCGTTTGGTTCAAGTTATATAAGAAAACCAATGTTATATTTATTTGGTAATATAAGATTTTCATGTTTAGTTCAGGTTATGTAACTTTCTCAAAGGATTTCAGATAATTTTCAGATTAAGTTTTTATTTTAACTATTAGAAGAGAATTGAGATACCCTCAAATTTTTTAGGTAATCTCATATTTTCTTGTCTTATTACTGATGTTGGGCTTTAGACATTTTTATTAATTTATTTTATTACCGTTGTCTAATTTACATATCTTAGTTTTAAACTAAACACAAAAATCAATATTTTCAGCTCTAACATTCCTTAAAATAATATAACTTTCCATGAACCAAACGCCCCCTACTTGACATATTATTACGGATGGCAAACAAACTTTCAATTTCGTTAAATATCGTTATGGCGAGCTGAAATTTTCCGTGATTTTTCTTTCCATCGTGACAGCGCAGAATTGGTAGTCCGTACATAAAACCGATTCACGCACAACAAAATAAAACAAAAATAATACACTGGAATAGTTTCAGACAGAGAGGAGAGAGAAACTTGGAATCAACGCTACCCTCTCTTCAGCACCGGCGTTCTCCGTCGGAGAATTTTCAACTCGATCGTCGACTTCTTGTTCTGGATCACTCACTCTTGCAGTAGCGGAGCTTGTCTCTCCGATCGCTGATTGCTTTTTCCTCTCCAATTCCATCTGATTCGCGAGGGCGTTAGAGAATAGAGAAGAACAGATGGGACAAACTTTCCGCAAGCTCTTTGATACCTTCTTCGGCAACAGCGAGATGAGGGTGCGCACTACCGAACACATGCACTTGCCGATTTTGCACATTCTATTCATATGTTTCCGGTTAATTTTAGTGCTGTTCTTCATGTTTTATCGTGGAAATGCTCCCTAGTCCCTATTGGTGATTACTTGTTTACTTCATTAATTTTCCTAATTCGGAGCTGCTTCTCGGATTCGTTCTATTAACTGTCATTTTCAGTAATACACACACATACCGACGGAGTTTTATTTGTATTTTTCTTAAGGTCTAGCTGAAAGTTGTTCTTGTGTGTTTGTGTGTTTTTGAAGTATTTTACGGAGTATTATTTAGTATAAGCAGTTGTTCTTTTATTGAAAACTGTAGGAAACTTGAGCATGCATCTCTAATGCTGATCAGTTACCACTCATCCTTTTGGCACCTGCTTGTGCTGTATGTAGTTTATTGAAGTTTGTCTGGTAGCAGTAATTAGTGCCAGCATTCTGTGGGAGATACAAGTTTTATGTGTGTATCACTTAGACTCCTTTGCTTTGTTTTTGATCTGCGTTTATTTATATAGGTTGTGATGCTTGGGCTTGATGCAGCTGGCAAAACAACCATACTGTATAAACTGCACATAGGAGAAGTTCTATCAACAGTTCCTACCATTGGTGAGTCAATTTGTTATGTACTCCGTATCATTTTGGTTTGGTTCAACAAAGCATGTTTTGGAACTTGGAAGAGGAGACTGACTAGATTGCTAACAATTACGGAGTATTAGGTTAACCTATAGTTTGGACTTCAATATCAACTTTGCTGTTCTATTAATTCCTGCCTCCGATTTTCATGGTTCTCAAAATGCTTAAGAGTTGTTGAATTTCACAATGTTTGGTTGAAGGGAGGGGGAAGAGAACAGAAAAACAGGGCATCTTCCCTTGCGGCTAGAAGCATTTAACCTTTTACTGAAAGAGTGAAAAATAGAATGTTATCTGATAAAGCTAAAAATGGAAGATTTTTTTTTTTTTTTTTCAAATTTTGCTAGTAAGCTTCAAGTATTAACATACACTGGTATTTCCTGTCTTCTGTCACTTTTTTTTTTCCTAATCTTCCAATTGTTAAACAATAGGGGTGCACATGGAAAAGATGGGTAGCTTAGTGTGTTCTACTATTTTTTACTATGCATATGAATTCTGAAAGTGGTCTTATTGAGGATAAATTAAAGAAAAATCAACTTTGTGGTTTGGAATATGGTACACCTATCAGAAAGAATGATGACATGGTAGTAATAGGTCATAGGAAAGGAAGTGATATGCCAAAAGTTATTTGGATTGAAGTTATGGGGAGGATATGCTAACACAAAAGCTTATGATGGTTTTAATGCTTGATATAATGGAATGGAAAATTAGAGGCCGTGTAGCCTATGCCAACTTAATATGGATTAAAGCTCTGTTAAAGAATACACAATTTGCAAGTCAGTGCATGGAGTCATGTCTTACCAACCTCCCCAAACTTCAGATATTGTTTGATTGGTGTTAACTGTATTAAATAACCTAGCATGCATACATATAGAGCACAGTGAAGATGATAACATTCTGCTGGCACACAGGTTTCAATGTGGAAAAGGTGCAGTATAAGAATGTGATGTTCACTGTCTGGGATGTTGGTGGACAGGAGAAATTAAGGCCACTCTGGAGGCATTACTTCAACAACACAGATGGACTGGTAATTATGTTCAATCTCTTTTAAACGTCATTGGATTGAACTATGTTTCTGCTTTACCTCATTTGGTTATAGCTTTTCGATAAGTGTTTCTTCATATGTTAATATGTTATTGATCCTTTGCACACTTTTTTAAATGTATTTAATGTCTATCTGATCAATTCCTTTTTTTAAATTTAATCTAGATATATGTTGTTGATTCTTTGGACCGAGAGAGAATTGGAAAGGCCAAACAAGAGTTTCAGGTTGTATATGTGAGCAGTATGTCTAAGTGATCCACGTGCTTCCTCTTTGGCTTACCCTTTCAAGTGTGCTTAATTTTCTCAGGCCATCATCAGAGATCCTTTTATGCTTAATGCAGTCATCTTGGTTTTTGCTAACAAACAGGACATGGTAAGTTGCATGATTAAGTTCATTTTCTTATCAATCAAGTTCAACTTTATGCATCTTTTCTCTTTCTGCAAAGTGTTGGTTTGTTTCATGAACTTTCACGCATGTAATTTGCTGCTGCCTTTCAGAGGGATGTCCTCCTTTGCCCTTCACCTGAAATATGAAGAATATGCTTTAAAATGCTCTAACTAGTCTATCTTTCAACCTCTCATTGATATATAGCTTACTTTTGTAAAATATACATATGAAATTAGAGTGTCTAAAAAAGTAAAATGAGAATACCATGACAAATTTGTAGTTACAATATTACTCCGTAATATTTGTATCACAAAAGCTTTTTTTTTCTCAAATTCAACATAATGGCAAGTGAACGTTCTATATTGATTTGTGTACCTGTTTGTTTGTCCAATATCAATCAGTCTCTCATTATCTATTTTGTATCCTTGTGATCCATTTAGAAAGGGGCAATGACTCCAATGGAAGTTTGTGAAGGCCTTGGTCTCTATGACCTTAGGAACAGAAAATGGCATATACAAGGGACATGTGCCGTCAGAGGGGATGGACTTTATGAGGGACTGGACTGGTTGGCAAGTACACTGAAGGAGCACAAGGCTGCTGGGTTCTCCTCAGTAGGCCCTTCAACATTTTGATTCGTCAGGTTAGTACATCTTTTATTTTACCTGAGATTTATCAATATTCTATTGCCATATAGGCTTCATTTGAGTTGATCTTTATCCCTATGGCAGGTTTATTCAAGTTCCGGGTGACAAAAGCTGAGAACCACTGCAGTCTAAAAAAGTTTTCCCTTATTTTACAATCTAATTTTGAATACTTGCTCCTAACATTCTTATTATGAATGTTTTGACTGTGTTGTGTATATTGGAAGATGGACCTTTTGATTGGTATCTGTTGGTTAGGGGATGTCACTTGAGGTACTATTTTACTATGTATATTTTTCTGTGTATAAAGTGGGTGATTAGATACACGGCTTCCCCTCCTCCCCACAGTTCTTTGCATAGATAATAGCACTCAAATCTTGTGATTGGCCTAGTCGTTTTTTGTTGGTTTGTTTGAAATACGTTAAGATGCTTGTGTTGATCGAATTCTCTCTGATACAAGTATGAATTAGTTACCAAGGACCCTGTGGTCCATTGGTACCTGGTTGCTCTCCTATGTGGGAGGTATGGTTCGAGCTTTAATAGAGGCGATTATGGTGTCATTTGATGTAATAGGTTGTATATGTGGGTATCCTCTTCCCTTATAAAAAAAAAAAAAAAAGTATGCATTAGTTAAAATTTGCAGAAGTTTATCCCTCAACTTTAAAAAAGTTTGTTTCAACTATTTAAATCAACAACTTATCAAAAGTCCTAAGTTGATGATATTGTCAATTCTTGAGATAGCAATCATATAATTCAAGCCCTAAAAAAAAAGAACTATTTAAATCAACTACTTAAAAAAAGTCTTAAGTTGATGATATTGTCAATTCTAGAGATAGCAATCATATAATTCAAGCCCTAAATATAAAAACAATCATATAATTCAAAGTGCAAAACTAATTTAATAATGAAACACTATGAATAAACGCTACAATAATTTTGTCAAAAAATTCATCTTGATAAGATCATTGAATAAAAGTAGCACGAAATACTTTTTTAACAATATGAACCGCCAAGTGCCAACCCAACCAAGAAGGTTGAACTCTAATGCTTATTTATTTAACCCAAAAAAAAAAAACGAATATAATACGGTATTGACAAGCTGGTCTCTGCTCCACCATCCTAGTCTTCAACGGTGTCAACCAAACAGTTCTCTTGTAGTTGTTGCAAAGCTGACCTGGTAGCTTCCTATTTAATTCAAATGAGCAACAATAATAACAACAAAGATAATTATATGGCGCACGTGCATTTAATAATTTCTCAAGGAACAGCAAAGCAATAATACAAAAATTAAGAGATTAGGAGGATTTTCTGACCTTGGTGTTAGCATTGCTTTTTGTGATCTCCTTCGGGCTGCAATCTTCATGGTGCTTTTTCTTGTTCTCCTTAATACGAACCAGTTTTCTGCCACTGTTATCAACATTCTCCTTGTCATCCGACACAGACTTCACTCCTGCTGACAATATGGTAATTGGTGTTTTCGTTGGTGTCGAGCAGATGATCTGAATGGTGTGACCTAAATTTGTTCCTGCCGAGCCAGTAGGGATCTGCTTATGATCAAATGCCGAAGCTGAGAGTGGAGTGTCGCCTTTAGGGACCGAAGATTCCAAGAATACAAAAGGAGTCTCAGCCACATTCTGCAATCCTGATGCTGGTTCTTTTCCTGCAGAGTTCTGCATATATTCTTGCACTGTGTTTTTATCCCCAATAGCAGTATCCATGTTAGTTTCTGAAGCATCTTCCAAAAGTTCAGAACTTTCAATGTTCTTGCTCTCTGCCTCGTTGTCACCTGCTGCAAATTCACTCAGTGATTCTTTTCTCCCTGAACTCGCAGACCTAGCTTCTGTAGCATCTTCAGAATATGAAAGCCCTTCATCCTTGGGTTCTTTCTCATCACCTCTCAAATTCTCCAATGACCATTCTCCATCTAAACTCTCAGAGTTAGTGTCTATACCATCTTCATCCTCATAATATGAAAGCCCTTCATTGTCGGTCTCTTTCTCATCACCTGTCAACCTCTCCAATGACACTTCTCCATCTAAACTCTTGGAGTTAGTGTCTATACCATCTTCATCCTCAGAATTGGTCTCTTTCTCATCACCTGTTAATTTCTCCAATGACCCTTCTCCACCTAAACTCTTAGAGTTGATACCTATAGCATCTTCATCCTCAGAATACGAAAGCCCTTCACTGTTGGTGTCTTTCTCATCACCTGTCAATTTCTTCAATGAACCTTCTCCACCTAAACTCTTAGAGTTGGTACCTATAGCATCTTCATCCTCAGAATACGAAAGCCCTTCATTGTTGGACCCTTCTCCACCTAAACTCTTAGAGTTGGTACCTATAGCATCTTCATCCTCAGAATATGAAAGCCCTTTATTGTTGGTCTCTTTCTCATCACCTGTCAATTTCTCCAATGACCCTTCTCCATCTAAACTCTTAGAGATGGTACCTATAGCACCTTCATCCTCAGAATATGAAAGCCCTTCATTGTTGGTCTCTTTCTCATCACCAGTCAATTTCTCCAATTCTGCGTCCGAATTCTCATCTGAACTCTCAGAGATACCTTCCATAGTATCTTCATAGTAAGAAATTCCTTTGGCCTTTGGCCCATTCTCATGACCTCTAAATTCTTCCAGTGACAGCTCTTCGTCTGAAGTCTCAGAGCTAGCTTGTGTAGTACCTTCATCCTCATCAGTTGTAAATTCATACAATGGTCCTTCACCTACAGGGTAAGAAATTTCTTTGGGGTTTGTTTCATCCTCATTGTCCAACTGCTTGGATAGAACCAAGTGATTATCAACAACCTCTTGGACCCTGCACTGATGATCAGCATTATCATCTTTAAGGTCAGAAATTTCTTCAGTGTTTGGCTCATCCTCATTATCTAACTGAACCATGTCATTGCCAAAAAGCTGTTGGCCTTTAGACTGAAGATCAGCACCTTGAACTTCACAGTCAGAACCGTGTTTAATGTTGTCATCCTTGCAAACAACCTCCTGGACTTTATACTGAAGATCATTTTCTTCGGTGTTTGGATCATCCTCATTACCTAAATGAACCATGTCATTGCCAACAATTTGTGGGCGTTTACACTGAATATCAGCACCTTGAACTTCAAAGTCAGAAATGTGTTTAATGTTGCCATCCTTGCCAACAATCTCCTGGACTTTGCACTGAAGATCAACACCTTCAACCTCACAGAGGTTAGTGTTGGGAGCATATAATTGCTCGGTTAGACCCATGTCATCACTTACAGTCACGCATTTGTACTGAAGATCGGCATCTTCTACCTCACTGACAGAGATTTGTTCAGTGCTGGGCTCTTTCAATTGCTTGGGTAGAATCATGCCATCACAAACGATCACCTGGCCTAGTTGCAATGAGGAATCTGGACCAACATCACCATCATATAGATTGGACAAGTTCACACCGCCATCACAGTGTGATTCCTTTCCAGAAGATAAACCTATACTCTCTGAATACCCATCCGGGCTCAAATCAGCATCTCCAGCCTCACATGTAGAGATTTTGTTAGCATTGTGCTCATTGGCTCTACCAATTTGCTTAGGTACCATGTCACTGTTAGCAACCTCCTGATCTAACCCTGAAGAGGATTTTGGAGTAACATGGGCATGTGGATCTTGCAAACCTACTTCAACATCACATGAATCAGGCAGATTCAAACATTCATCACTATGTGATTCCTTGCCATCAGATAAACCATTATTTGTGGAATTCTCAGCCAACACAAAATTGGCAGGTTCAACATCCAATGAGCTATCAAGTTCCTTAGCTTTGTCATCATTCAACTCTTCCCCTTCTCCTAGTTTTTTAGACAGTAGCATGTCAACTGCAACCATATCATACAAACAGGAAAACCCATCACGTATGTGAACAAACTTCCAAGAAGCAGTAGCACTTAGTAAATAACAAAGGGAAGAAATCAAAACAATAAATAGACGAACAAACTTACCATTATTTTCAATGATTGCGTTAGAGTTGTCACTGGTAGCTAGATCTTCAGAGCTTTTAGGCATATCAACTTTCAGTTTGTTGTTTAACAGGTTTAGATTCTCAAATTCAAATGAGAGGGCACCGTCTTTGGCTTTTTTACTATTGAAACCCTCCTCAGATGCTGTTTTCAAGTCAATACCTGCATTATCACAGCAAAAATTCGGAGATCAAGTGAGTACTAAGTATTAGAAAAGAGATATAACTCAGCATATAGTGGCCTAGTGAAGGCATACCAGCTTTCTCTACTTCATCCTCGAAGTGAAGAGAACACTTCCCAAAGTCCACTTCCAAACCTTCAGTCGCTGCTTCAGAAAAGTTATCGAATGTAATGGTCTGATCTGATCTTTCATTATCCTGTTTGCCTGATTCCTTCAAACGTTTTGCGGCTAACCTTGCTGATCTTCGAATGCTGTATACTTGGCTAACTGAACTCTTCTCCTTTGCTTCCCTTTTTTGGCTAGTCAGCACAGCACCTGGTGTCTTGTGAACATCTTGTTTTCCTTTTGCTGCTGCACTTCGTCCAACAGTTGGCGCAATCGGAGTCTGAGAAGTTTCAGTTTCATTTTTAACCGTCTTTCGCCGTGCAGTTCTACGAACGGTTGAAGGAACACTTTGTGAGCTTATATCTGACTTGTGAGGTAATTCAACCGATGAAATTGCAGTTTCATCAGCTTCTGACGGTTTCAGGAAATCTTCAATACCTTCCACCTGGAATAGGCACATAATGAGTAAACGACAGCTTTTGAAACAAAACACAGAAGGATAATCGATTATCAAAGATGTTATATGTGATCGGAAGTCTCATTTCAACGACTGAAAATTTAATAAGCAACAAGCTGAAAACTCTCTCTAGGTTATTGTACTAGAAAGCTTTCATCACAAGCTCAATTTTAAAACGAAACAAAAATTGCACAAAAATGTTGATCGATACAGAAACTAATCCTAACTTCATTCATTTATCATTTCATGTTAGTTTCAGATGAGTATAAAAAATCCGCACAAGAAAATATGGAAAATATCAAAACTATACAAATCGATGATATTCATATTAGTTTCATCTGAGTTCAAAAAATCTACACGACAAAATATGGAAAAAATATCAAAACTATACAAGTCGATGATATTAAGTTGGAGTGTTAGATGCAAATCTTACGAGATCAAGCGCCTGCAGAGCGTCCGCCATGGCAACATTGGTGATGTTCGCATGAATTTTGTTCTTCTTGCATAGAGCTTGGAGCTCTCTCCTGGTGAGGCTTCGGAAATCCATGGCAGAAATCGAACTGAAACGAGATCGACTAATGTGATTTGCTATGCTTTTGAATTGCTGATCGGAGAGCTAGATGCTTTGGCGAATATAGCGGGAACGGTAGAGAGGTATATATATATACATATATATAGTGTTGGCGTGGGGTTAAACCCTCGTCTTCAGCGTAACCGTTGTAGCGAAGATTCAAATTTGAAATTTAAAATAGCTGGCGGTTTATTGTCTTACCATCTTACCATATATCAGTATATGCGGGAAGATGAATCGCTCCTTCTCGTTCATTCACCCTTAGGACTTAGGAGGTTTGGTTCGTGAGATTGTTAATGCTAAAAAATTTGATAAATTTGTCACGTAAAATGTTTTATGAGTTATAAATTTATAATCAATTAACATAAAATAATAATATTGCATGTACTACTCATTGTAAAAAATTATATTTGGTGAAATGATCAATTATTCAGTTAAAGCTCTATTCCATTCAAATAATGAGTCATATAACTGATTGCCACCCTTTAAAACTAGTTCTTTACATTTTCTCAAAAAAAATATATAATTCTTTACATTAACAACAAAATAAGATTATGGGGAGACACATAATTAAGGAGTGACCTAGTTGATTCTTACACATTAAAACTAGTTCTTTACATCAATGTAACAACATAATAAGATCATGGGACACAAGTTAAGTATATAACCTCTTCACAATTCACCTAATACTCAAGCCATGCATTAGAGAGGTTCATGCAAGCTGATCACTAACTTAATTCTATTCTCTAAAAATGTGACAACTCCTCAATTCACCTAAGGCTCATGTCATACATTAGAGAAATTCATGCAAACTAGTCAATAATTCAAAAATGCTTCTGACTTCTACTGCCTTTCCATCATAAGCAAAGCTCACCAATTACCCTTTACTGACCTTAATATGGTACATGTGCGATTTGATGGGTATAGTACTGTCATTAATTTGTTTTAAAAGCCATTGTCATTGTGGTTCTTAAATTAAATATAAAAATATCACTATAATTGAAACACCATTATATCTAATTATAGCACAATGGGAGCATATGAGCACATTAAACTAAATGAAACAAGGCATGTTCACAAAATGGAAGAAATTTCATTTCCTCCAAAAACAAAGCCCTCTGCATACATGAGATTTAGAGATAAGCTAGTGTTATAGACTTGTAGTACTACAGCAGTGGTATTGACAATAAACAATCAAGCAAGTTGCCTCCTCATGTAAGTATCTTCATGCACAAAAACTGGTTCCTGACTGGTTTGAGGAGGAAATTGGGGTTGCCCCATTGCAATGCCGCCTTGACCCGAAGGAGCCGGTGGACACCATGGGTCGTTTGTGTTCTTCGCAGAAATCAGGGTGAGATAATAGACAATCCCAAGAGAAACACTTGCAAGGGACAGGACAGCAGCTCCGGCAAAAACTCCAGGTTTAACTACGTAGCAGTAGTAGTTGCCAAAGTACATGTTCTCTTCACCATGTTGTTCATTCAATGCTGCACCCGTTAGCAGAAGCAGAAATGCTATGACAAATGTGAACCTGCACAAGGAGCAAAAATCGGTATCCAAGTTTTTCACTGGAAAATGATACTCGAGTACCAATAGTGAATCCAGAAGTTCATGACCAAATTACCAGGAAACAACAAAACAAACGAGCGCCAATGTCCAGTTAGAGTTCGACTGATGTGGACCTTTTCTGCAACAAATACATCCAGTTGCAACATTCACAACAATTTGAGCAACCATGAGAGCTACAGCTGCAGTCAATCCAAGGCCCAGTGCGGGACTCCTGGGGTATACACATTCCGAAGGTGAAGTGAATTCAACTTGAGAACCCTGAACAATTGGGCAATCAAATCAATGGTGGCTCTTAGAAAGCTTCGAGTACGAGCTGCAACCACAAGAGCACAGGACAAATCCAGAGAGTTCGACACATAATACTAAGGAACTTGTCCCATCTGCGCACTTGCATTATACAACATTACACCTAAACACTCCCCCAACTTAATCAAACAGCTATACACCAGTGCACAACATTCATAAAATCTAAACATAATCAACTAGACATTTTGACCTTACACCACTAAACCAGTCTTAACCAGATTTGAATATCCTACTTCTACTAACATCCTAGGTATCCTTTCCATGAATTGCAGTAGCAATGTACTACCAGCCGACATAAACAGAAGGCATGATATCATCTGTTTTGACAAATTTCTCAAAACATCACTTTTTCATTGAGTTATCCACAGCTATATGCGCATCTTCAAGACTAGAAACATAAATCTAAAAGAGAAACACATTAAGTTACCTTGCACCTAAACTAAACCGAACTAAGCTGTAATCCCAATCTAGGTAGAGAATATCAACTAAAAATGACCACAGGCACGAAAATCGAGCAAATATTTAGTAGATTGAAGCATATACATACAGCAGCAGCTATGCATACACATAAATGGGTGTTTAGCCCTATGAATACCTTAATCCTCGTGGCTTCAGCAGCAAATCCGGTAACAGCAGATAATATCCCTAGGAATCCAACTACAGAGCAGATTAGTAGCACATTTCTTTCCATTTCCTCGACTTCCGTTTCTTCTTCTTCTTCTTCTTCCTCTCCTGCCGATAAGCAAAGCTCTGCCTAAGATTCGCTGCACTATCCAAGCGTGGGAAACGAAGAGGAGATAGAGAGAGAGAGAATATGCTTATAAATGAAGGAAACGTAAAGCAAATGATGTTTTATCATTTTGAATTTTTTTGGAAATGAGTTTTGTCACAAAATAATGGGGCAAATTATGCCCTGGACCCGTGTCCACGTTGAATTGTGGACACGGGTCCAAAACAACGTCGTTTTTTTAAAAAAACGCGTCATTTAGTTAAAAAAAAAAAAATTCGCGCGCGTTTTGCCGTTAACGGCGTTATTTTTTTTTTTTGGATTATGAATGTACAGTTATGCCGTTATGAATATACAGTTATGCAATTATGAACACAGAGCTCTAACATTATGAACTTACAATTATGAACATATATAGTGATAAAATTATGACCATGGAGCTTTAAAATTGTGAATATAGAGCTTCGAAGATTATGAATGTACAGTTATAGAGTTATGAATGTACAGTTATAGAGTTATGAATCTACAGTTATGGAGTTATGAATCTACAGTTATGAGATTATGAATCTACAGTATGGAATTATGAATGTACAGTTATTGATCAAATTATGAACAAAGAGCTCTAACATTATGAACTTACAATTATGAACATATAGTGATAAAATTATGAACATAGAGCTCTAAAATTGTGAACATAGAGCTTCGAAAATTATGAATGTACAATTATGGAGTTATGAATGTACAGTTATGGAGTTATGAATGTACAGTTATAGAGTTATGAACGTACAGTTATGGAGTTATGAATGTATAGTTATTAACATATAGTAATAAAATTATGAACATATACTCTTACAATGAAGCGGTCTGAAATTTATAAAAAAGAAAAAAAAAAAAGAAAAAAAAAAAAAGAAAGAGATAACAGTGCCTAACGGCACTGTTACCCGTGTCCAGCAAGCATGCTGGACATGGGTCCAACGCATAACGATTGAAATAATGGACTGTGGGTTGCTGTTGTGTGGCCCAGGATATAGAGCGAATCGGTATAGTCCTTAATTGTTAAATGAGTTATAAACTTAATTTATTAACTAACGAATTGTAACATTTTATAAATTTGATTGTTGTTCAAATGAGAGGTTATGAGTTTGATTTCTAGTGGAAACAGTATTAACTATTTCTACTTTAGTAAATTGAGAAAATAAGTGCGCAATAAATAAAAATTTAGTCTCAGTGTTTAGCCGAGTTTCATATAAATTATTGTTTAATGAATTTTTATTGTCTTTTATTATTCACTATTAACTCACATTAATGTCGTCAACTAAATGCGAATAAATCAGTATAATATTATTATCGTGTCAATAATTAATTATATGCTTGTCAAAATAAGTAAGTATTGAGTTTTATGTTAACAAGAATATCAAATTATAATGATCATATTGTATTTAAGAAAATTAAGATCTGTTGTAATTCGGCCTATCAACTCGTTAGTTCTCGCGTGATAGTTGCACGGTAATAGCTTGGAGATATGCGTGTATATGTATGTATGTATAAAGTAGAGAAGTAAAAGAGAAAGGAGAAGAAGAAGAACACCAAATGTATGGCACAACAACCATATCATTTCATTAGCCTTCACTATCAATTTATAGGAATCCATACAACCTTTCATATCCTTAATCATAAACAATGTAATAAGTGGAAGGCAAATGAAGAGACTTAAGATTAATGGCCATAATGAAATATTTATAACACTCCCCCTTGGCCATTATCTTACCACACTCATGCCTCGTTAAAAACCTCGCTAGAAAACTCAGTGGGAAAAACTAAATGAGGAAAAGAGTACACAAAGTATGTTAAACTATTGTGTTGCACTGGTTGCCTCATTAAAAACCTTAGCCTAAGAAAACTCAGTGGGAAAAAACTTAGCCAAGGAAAAGAGTACAACCATAAGCCTTCTGGGCATAATCTTCAAGATTTCAATGGTCTTCAGGACTATCCACTCAAGTGCACCAACATCAGTTGCCTCATTAAAAACCTTAGCTAAGAAAACCCTGTGGGGAAAACTTAGCTAAGGGAAAAAGAGTACAATCATATGCTTTCGTAGCATAATCTTTAGGATATCAAAAGTCCTCTAGATTGTCCATTCTATCACAGCTAGGGGTTGTCGCTCCCCCTGAAGATAACAATCTTCTAAGCCTATGCATCCCAATTTTATAAACATATTACTCAAAAGTAGATGTAGGCAGAGACTTAGTGAACATATCTGCAAGATTGTTCAGTGGGGAAAATATTCTCAACAAGAATTTTACAACTCTTCTAGAGTTCATGTGTGTAGAA